GTGATTCAGAAATTGCAATCATTGTTGAAGATAATGCAGTTGTTGAGTCTAAAATGAATGGTAAAGATGTACGTAACATTTACCTGTTATTTCACCATTCATTTATTCATTTACTCATTTACTTCCTAATGAATTGAAAAATACATATTGACACATTTTATTAATATATCTTATTTTAGTATTTAGCACGAAAATTTGCTTTTAAATTACGTAATTCTATCTTTAAAGAACACTTGGGATTTATTGAGAAACAAGACCATTCAACTGTGACAAAAAGTTGTTTACCACCTCTCGAAGCCAAATATGTTTATGAATTGTTACATGAAAAGGATAATTCAATTTCACACATGTTTGATGAGTCATCATCATCATCATGTCGTCATTCTAAACAACAAACAGAAGAAGATTTAATTTTAATGGATCCACTTTCAGATAAATTCTATGATTATTGGACTTCAAGAGCAAATAAAAACACAGAAATTTATCGTTCATTATTTCATTGCATACCAGATGATAAAGGTAGGTCATATAATATATATGAGAAGATTTCTAGCAAAAAAACCAGGTATAAGGTCTCTATTCCAAAATTGAGTTTTCTGCATAATATATATCTATACCAACTACAAGGATTATGACTGGCGAAAATTTTAGACATTGCTTGCTTGGTACAATAACAAGATAGGCTTGAAATATCAAAAACATGTGTAACATATTTTGCAGAGATTGCTTATACCTGGTTTTTGTTAGAAGTCTCCCATATGATAAAATATTATGCTAACTGAAAGTGATTAAAGGGAATATATACATTCTTGCCAAAGAATTAAACAATACAAAACTCTTAAAGGAGTTGGATTGTGTATTTGAATTTAGAAAAAGAAGAAAGTAAAGGTTATAAAGATTATATGAATAAATGTGTAGAATTGACCTTAACAAGTGGGAAAAGCATATAATGGATGATCAATTATTTTATTAAATCCCCCTGACTTTCATTTGATCTTTTCAGTATGAAGCAGTAGATATTGACTGGTGATCTGTATAGCTGTATAGGTTTTTGAGAAGGGTGGTAAAGTGGAATGAGAAGCTGAGAGCCAGTTGCTGAATGAGGATGACTGAGGCTTTATAATGTAGCCACACTTGAATGAAATGCATGATGATGGGTTGGTACACCCAATAGCATCATGTACTTTGACACAAGTGATCTTGGCATTTATGCTTCTATAGGATCACACAAGTCTAGTCT